GTGGGGACAAAATTTTGTTCCCTCTATATGTTGCTTGAAATTCATGCAGCTGGTTTGAATTCGTGCGTCATGAAGCAGGGACGAAATGACCTCACTTTTCAATGCGGCATAGTGTGTACTGCTATTGCAAACTGCCCCTGCTACAACAAAGCAATGAATCAATATCCGCTTCGTTTCTACCAGTTTGCACACTGGCCTTCCATGCGTCTTAGCCGCACACGAAAGGTTTGTCCCTGCTTCACATCTCCACAACATGTCCCGAAGTGTGTGCCGATCAACGCCCTCTCAGTTCTTGCTAAGCTTTGTAACACCCTCAGCCTTACAACTCAGTGCATTATGTTATGCCACTTGACAGTTGCTAAGCGTTGTATAAAAGAATATCAAGCTAGTAAAACAGTTCAAGTAGTGCAAACGTTTCACATTTTTGAGATTCAAAATTAAACAGACTTACTTGAAAGTCAGTAGAACTTTGATTTTCTCAGCTATCTTTCAAAACCGACAAAAAGACTGAACCCTTAAATGCGTCGTGTAGCACCATTCTTTCGAAACCTTTCACCCCTCCAGTGACGTGCAACGTATTTCACGTTACTAAATAAACTACCAGTCAGGGAAACTTAGCTAGGCAGCCTTCTAATCTTTACAAAAGTGTGTTTTTTTTTTTGCATCCCTTATTGAGTAGGGAGCAGTGTTAAGCTGAAGGTAGTTAGTATGTCAACAGCTTACACATTTTTTCTCTAAGGACCTTTAAGCGATGCACTGCGAGCAGTTGGTTTCTTCTAATTTTCTCTTTCGTTCGGCTTAAGAGAAACCAAATTCTCTCGGGGCATTTAAGCTATGGTGATCTATCTTCAAACTATAATTATGTACATCGTGTTTAATAAGTCTTTTTCTTGAACTAATCCGCCAGCAGTGTCGAATTCAAAGGCCTTCAAATCTCACTGATTCGACCAAGACACTGATTGCAAGAACACGTGAACTATGCTCAACTAAATGTATAAAAAATCGGCCATATAATCGACAAAAGAGGGACATATAAAGTCTAAATGGATAATCTCA